AATAATTTGAATCACAATATAAAAAATCTATCAAAAAAAATCTAAAACTTTTTCTGTACATGTTATGATTTGAATTTTTAAAAACAAAATAATATAAATTGTTTCGTATATAACCTCATTTAGTAGGTATCCAAAGGTAATTTTTTTTTCATTTAATATGGTTTTTTAATTAAAATCTATAATTAAATCGAATAAAAAAAGTTCTTTTTATAAATATTTTATTTTGATTAAACTTTTGAATATTACTCTATCTGTTTCAACTTTCTATACAAAATTAATTATATTTTTGCTGTTTTGACAATTTGGATTCTGCATATTATTTTCTGATTGGTTGGATTGTTTTGAAATTATAATAAAGCATGTTTTAGTTTTGAAAGAAAGAAAAAATTAGTTCTAATCCGTGTCCACACAGCTAAAACTTTTTATCTTATGAAATACATGATGTATAATTTTTCTAAAGAATAATGTTTTATTTTCAATTTTTTTTCTTTAAACTATCTTATTATATTATAGTTATTTGAGTTTTATGTATCTCGGTTAAATCTATCATATTTAATTGTGGTTGATCAATGCTTTAATTTATTTTTTTTTAAATGGATTAAAATGCCTAATTTCCATACTATAAACGAATAACAAAGGTTAAAAATCTCTCGCATAAAATGTCGAAATATTTAAATAAACATTTTTTTAATAAAAATACAAATTCAGAAACTATCACCCCATGCACGGCATGGGTCAAGCCCTAGTTTTAGATATTAATTCAGAAAAGTATGGAAATGATGAGAGAAAGCCACGTGTCCATCTCTCGATGGGCAACTTTTATAGTATAGGATCTCAAAACAAACGCAAGCAACGTATAATAATGTCACCATGTGTGGCTGTGTCTGAGTCCAATGATTTGGACCCAATTTACATATAAGTGAAATAATAATATATATATGAAACAGTCTATTAATATTTATACAGTAAAACCTCTATAAAACAATAATGTTGGGATTTTGAAATTTTATTATCTTATAAAGTTATTATTTTATCGATAAAAAATAATTATTATTTTATCGATAAAACAATAATTATTATTTTATAGAAATATTCTATCAAAAACAAAAAACTTTATAGAAATATATTTTTTCAAACTTTTTATTCAAATTTTCCTTATATTTTGTTATTTACATATTTCATGCTCAGAAGTTCAAAGTCATAAAAAATTATGTCTACTGTTCTTAATAGTGAAGATGAAATTGAAGATGATGAGGAATGAAATGTGCAAACAGATGCAATAAGAAAAATTGTATATGCAATAAGAAAAATTTGAGATGAGTTCCAACGGGAATCCAATTTTCAGAAAAGACAAACTACATTAGAGTCATATTTTACTAAATTGTCTTAGATATATATGCATTAGTTTTATAATTATTATCTTAGCTTATTCTTGGGACTATATTTTTACATAGGAGTTTCAAAAATATTATTGTCTTATCATCTCATTATGCTATTTTTTACATCGAGTTGGGACCGGAGAAAAATATTATCTTATAGTGTTTATTGTTTTATCGAGTATTGTTTTATAGAGGTTCTACTGTATTTACCTTTTGTAACCAAATCAACTCACTAAAATAATACATCTATAAAGAATATCAACTCACTCAAATAATACGTCTTATGTAAATGAAATCAACGGACTTACCAAATCATAACATTTCGTGAAGATTTTTGTGCGTGATTGACTACTATAGTTATGTGGGATTGCATTGATCACGATAAAAAAAGGAATCATGATCATTGATTAAGGCTAAACTTAATAAGAGCTTCAGCCCTATCCTCTTACCATATAAGGGGACACAAAGCATATTCAGTCATCACCTCCGATCATAGTATAACACAAAAAGTCTCACAGATGTTTTGATAAAATCTTAAAAACTAAGATTGACTTAAATCTTAAAAATCATATTTTCATATGAACAAAAATTCATCAAATTTCATCTTGCGCAGAGCGCAAGTACAACCCTAGTTAACTTTATATTGGGTTTTACCCAATCTTAATTTTATATTAGGTTCTACAAGATGTTTTTTTTAACTTTATATTGGGTTCTATCCGATTGGTAACATAAGAAATGAACGCGTCCAATTGTCTGCTATAGCTTCCCCCTAATGCTAAAAATGCTAAAAACTGTCATTTTTTGAAGTATCTTGTTCTTTTTTAACATCTTTTGAGGTATCTTCCTAAAAACCATATTGAATTAAACCATTTGTACAATGATATATATTTATTTTTTGTAACAAATTTTATTTGTTTTATTTTAAAAAGGGTAATTGATATCAATATATAAACCATTATGTTTACACAGAAACATTAAAAAAAAAAAAGTTATGCATGCAAACTTTCAATGCCTTTTCTAGACATTCAATAGTAAGTTTTGAGATAATCCAATCCACAGAACCAATCCTGTTCCAAATCAGATAACTGATTACAAAGAATGAATCAAATCTCCTAATATGGTAAATTATGTTTTTGTAAAGGATCAAATGTTTCTAACTGTCTATATAGGATAAGTTGAATCCAAACAAAAACTTTTTAAAAAAAATGAAAATGTATTGATTAAAACCCAAACAGAAGTGTATCAAATTCACAAAATTTTGTCTCATTATATTGTTGACTATTATGGGGTAATATACTTGGATCACTTCTTCAAGCAATTGGTCCAACCATTTAATATGAAATTCCATGGGCTGCCATTTTAGGAAAATATATCATTACTAAAATATCTACGTTTTACCGTGAAGAATTTGATGACTTTTCAGTCGCTTATCGATTTCTATGGGCCTGATTGGTTGTGGCTGTAGCTTTAATTTTGTTTCATGTATAATTTATGTTGTAGAATCTTTGACTGTGATTGTAGATTTTAGTGTTGTAAGATTTTTTATTGTAGATTGTGTCACTAAATATAGCATTAAAACAAAAAAGATAAGATATAGAAATAATAGATTAAAAAATAAATGTAGAAAAAATAATAAGGAAAGAGAAAAGAGAAAATTCTAAGAGCACTTAATTTTGTGCTCTAGAAAAATTGCTTTCCAAAGCCACGGAACTTCCATAAATAAATAAAAAATTGTTCTGTGTTACAAAAATGGAAAGAGATGGAATGAGAGCTTGATTGGTAATTTTGGATTCTTGTACAGAGATTTAGTGTTATGGAGAACAACTATAGCTCCTACCAATCATCCCCATACCTCTAAAATCAATCCAACAGTCAGATATGACTAGGTTCATGCCAAAACCCACCAAAAGAGGCACAATGAGATTAACTAATGGCTTCGGGAGTTAACGTCTCAGAGTACGTGGTTGTCAAATAGCATTTTTATTACATCTCATGAAAGTACAACTCGACACTCAGAAGCGACCGTGGTGTTAAGTATCAGCAGAAGTGACCGTCACAAATTCCTGTTAAGTATCAGCGGTCGAACCGCGTATCGCACACCTAACATTGCACACGGCCGAGCACGCGTACCGACCTGGGATCCATCGTCCCGCGTCGCACACGCTCAACACCATCGTCTCGCGGTCGTCCTGCGTGCAATGGATACATACAAACCTCCATTTCATATCCTTATCTCTTCTTAATTAATTTTCTTTTCTTTTCTTTTATCTTTGAATATTACCTCTTACCCTTAATGTGATTTTCTTTCACCGGGACGGTGCAAGTTAAGTCTAGGGGGAATTTTATTGTGTACTAATGAAATTTTTTTCTTTTCTTATGCTTTATTTCATGTTTTCTTGTTTTATTTCAGTCAAAACTTAGTTCGGAAATTATGAACTTGCTTTAAGATCTGCCGGTGTTGTGCTAACAATCTATGACCCTAGAGCAGACATCAGCTGAAGGCATAAGCCTAACAGAAACTCTAATAGTGGATCGACTTGCCGGCTTAGCGACAATTCTAAGGTAACCAACCATGGGATAAAAGATAGTTGCATGGGATAAGTAAGAGCCGTCTTGAACACGAATCACAAATGTATTGTCTTTCCACTGTTGTGACTCTAACCACTATGTTTCAAACAACCTAATATACTCAGCTTTCGTTGGCTATTAGTATTGCAAACATGCATTAAAGATGGTCAAGATTCAATTTTTCACAATGGTCCATATCTCAACTTTTGTTGGCTATGACCCATTGCTCACCAAATACTAGTTTCGAGATCTAGATTCAGCAGTGCGGTGGTTCTATTTCTCTAAGATCAGATTACTAGATATACGGTAAATTAATCATGCATTAAGTTCAAGTAAAGGTGAAGATCCATAAGATAAAATCACAATATGTTGCAACACAATCAATCCATCATAGCATATAAGATCTCCTCGGCCTAACCTACTCGGCCACGATGTAAACAAGCAAGCAAGACATGATTGAAAGCAGTAAGCAAGTGAATAAAGAGAGAAAGGGATAAAAGAAAGCTTCTCTATTGAAGAAACAGGTCGGATCTCCCTTAGAACTCTCGATCTCAAGTACAAAAGATGATAAAAAGAAATGGAAATAATGAACAAGAGAGAAAACAAGTATAAAATCAAGCGGCGCCTTCTTCTTCCTAGACGACGAACTCCTAGGGTTTCTTCCTCTCCTCTGCCGGCTCTCTTCTTCTCTTGACTCACTCTGCGGCTCTCTTCAGACACATCTTGCTTCAGTGGCTAAAAACATGTATATATGGGCGAAGTCGCGTAGAGTTTTCTTCATGGCGGAAATGGAAAGTTTCCCATGAGCCGGGCCTCTTCCCTCATGTAATGCATGAGCTGGGATTGCACCAAAGACGCCTCCAAATATTAGCTAGGCCTCTTACTTAGCGATCCAAGGCTTGGGACGTGGTTGCTTGGGCCTTTAGACACTCCAAATCCTCTATGGGTCGCTAACGGGACATGTCTCGGTAGAAAATAAGTTCCGCCCTGATGGTTGATCCAAACGGCCTTAATCCACTTCGACATCATGAATCAAGTATCTACCGTTCCATATCAAGATCGTGACGTTTGGTCGTCGGGAACTCCTCCGTTTGTAGCCAAACTTCCGAAGCTTTGTTTCTGCTCGGTAGCGATAATTGTCACTTGGAGATAAAATGTTGCTCTTGACTTGGAAACTTGCATGGAACTTGGTTTGAGACCTTTTTGCTCATTTTTACATATTCTTTTTGGTGGTTTCACCTACAAAGATTTCAGATCCCACAAATACAAGAACACTACCTCAAAAGGCAAAGGATCTTATAAAAATCGCTTGAAAACATACATAAATACTAAGTAAAACCATGTAAAATATAGTGATATCAATGCCTAACATTGCACGTGGCCGAGCCTGCGTACCGAGCCGGGATCCATCGTCCCGCGGTCGTCCTGCATCCCACACACTCAACACCATCGTCATACACGCACGGCCGACCACACGACCGACCCGGGAAGCATCGTCCCGCGGTTGACCCATTCCCGTCCAGCATCTTGTACATCCAACTGCATGTACCGTCCGACCAGGAAGGAACCGTTCCGCACATCCGCACGACCGTACCGTCCGACCAGGAACCTATCTTCCCGCGATTGTCCCAACTGTAGCACCAAACATATCCATCCGGCCGATCCCGATGTCCGACCGAAGAACCAACTGGCCACGATCATACCGACCGTACTGATGGCCGGACACGACTCGATTGCCGGCAGAATGCAGCGACAGACCGTCCGAATGGTCTGGTCGACCTGAGGCCAATTTTAAAGCCTGTTTCACACAATTTTTCGGCTCGTCTAACCTAATACCGCCTGAGGAAGACCTAGCACTATAAATACAACTTTTAAGCCTCTTTAGAAAGAGAGCCGCATATTGTATCATCTTTACACTTAGAGTTTTGTTCTAGAGATTTCAAGGAGAGGATCTCTCCTCCTTACTTCAATTTGGAGAAGTTTTCTAAATTTTTTTCTATCTATGATGCTTTCTTCATCTCTTTGTGTTATTGCTTTGATTATGTCTCAGTAATCCACTAGTTAGGTTTGTAGGGTTACTAATTCAATGAGTTGCTTGTTTGATCTATGATTTAATAAGGATATCACTAGAATCTTTGTCTCGTCTTGGTCACCAACTAATGCTGATTGCTTTACCGCGCATCTAGCAATCTGATCTTAGGTTGATTTGAGGCACGACAGTGATGTATCATTCTCCGGACATATTCTTTGACAAGCTAGGTTTCTTTGACTGCGACAATTGATTTACCTAGCCTAGTGAACTGAATCAGTACTTTCTCAATCTAATGCTTGAATAACCATTTAAGGACATACCAAAAGTTTAGCGATTAGATAGGTTATCAAAGGAGCTGGAGCCACGAGAATGGAAAAGTTTATTTTCGTGTTATGTGTTCTAGACGGTTCTATCATCCCATTATCCCTAAATCAATCATATCACTCATCAAACTTGATCATTGCTTGCTTCTCTGCGATTAGCCCCTATTGACCTAGCGCTTTCTCCTTAATTATTCACCACTATCTCTACCTTGTTTTCCTTATTTTCAATTACAACCTCAAAACCTCATACTATTGTTTTAGCTTGAACCAAAATCTATATCCTCAAAGTGTACTTAATATATAGCCAGTCCTTGTATTCGATACCCATACTTCTTTGATCTGTGCACTTGCAGGAATCACAAGAGTTTGGTAAAATCTGCTCAACATCAAAGACACGCTCCTGTATAGTAAGCATTCCACATGTTTCACATAACCCTCGGAGGCGTTCATACTTGAATTTGATGAGAGTATTGACTCCTGGAGTGAACTGGAAGTTCTTCTGGAATCGAAGTGGATTGTCAACATTCCAGATGATCTTCACTCAAACAAACTCCACTGCGGCTGCTGTTTCTGTTTGAAGTCGATCGTATCTACTTGCCCCATGGTGTTGCCAATATGGGAGATGACATTTCTGGTGAGAAATTGAATTGGAATCCCTCGGATTTCCACCCAGAATGGAATAGAGTTCAAATCAAACTCATACTTCATGAGTCTTCATGAGTCCAGCTTTGGAGAATAAGCATTCTCTCCGCAAAGGCCCATGGTCCTCGGTTGAGGACTGATTGCATGAGATCCTCCGACGGGAAAACGAATTGGAATCATCTTTTCTCAATTATACGACCAGCGATCAGACTGTTAAGACCCCAATTGCATGGTAGTGTAACTACGAGGGTGCGTAGATTTTGGCGTCGAGGAATGAGTGCACGCCCAATTAGCGAGAAACGGTTGGCACAAACTGCTTCAGAACAGAAATCGGTGGGAATAGCAACCGGAGCATCGTTTATCCCCAAATAAAGATCCTGGATTGCTCGGCGAAGGTTATTTGCCATCAGAATTGAATGGATTAGGAATTGAATGCAATAGAGAAGAAGAAAAATATTACTCGGAAGAACTGGAATCTGATAATTGATTAAACTTGAAATATCAGAAAATTTATAGTTATCTTTCCAACGATATATGCGAAATCTAGATCCATCGTAATGGTCCACTACCACCCACTACGGAGATGGAAGGCATGGATAGGAAACCGCCAATTAACCGCTCCACTAAGATGCAAATCTGAGAAACCGTTCCAAGAACTGCGAACGTGAGAGATGAAGAGGATTACCGCACAATTGCCCTCCAAATAGCCAAAAAATCGCACATTTCTATCATTAGTAAAAGTGCTTTCGTGAAAAATGTTAGGTCTTGATTGGTAGAGCATTAACTCTTTCTAATCCAATCAACATTTTTTAAAAGAGCATTTCGAAGAGCATTTAGAAACTGCTAATGCTTCCAAATTGCTCATTCCCTCCCTCCTCTGAAATGGATCATTTCCAAAGCATTGAGCTCAAAAATATTAATTTTGTATAAATAAATTATAATAAAATTATATTTAGTTTATTTATTCTGGTAAAATAAATTGAAAACTATATATGTTAAGTTTACAATTTTCTAATTTCGTAAATTATGTTTATCATTAATGTATTATTCATAAAATAAATATTTAATGACATAAAAATTTAATAACTATAATTGAAATATGAAATAATAACTAAATATTTTTTAAAAAATAGAAAAGTTTTTTATGTTATTAATGAATATATATATGTATATATATGATGCATTAAAATAAATATCAATATACATCTTATTATATAAAGCTGGATGTGCATGACGTAGTTGCGACACGTAGAATTTTTATAAAATTCAGGATCGCGACATGTGTCACTTTTAAGCTTATGTATATTAAGATCGTGACATGTGTCTTAGGAAAAAATGAGAACTTAAGAAAAAAAAGAATTCCATAAAAATGTTAATTAAAAAAACGAAATTTAATTTAATATATTATATCAAAAAGGAAAAAATAATATTTGTTATATCCAAACAGAAAAAGGTTTCTCATTCATCAATTTTTTATTATACAAAGTTGGATGCGCACGACGTGGTTGCGACACATATGATTTTTATAATTTATAAGATCGCGACATGTGTCACTTTTAATGTTACGTCTGTTAAGATCGTGACACATGTCATAGAGAAAATAAAAATAAAAAACAATACTAATAAAAAAATTAGATAAAGGAAATTGTTTTTAAAAAATTAATCCATTACAATTAAAAGAAATAAAAATATATTTGTCATATCCTAATAGAGAAAGGTTTCCCATTCATCAAATTAATATTATCGAAACAAATAATAAAATCAAAATAATGTAATAAAATAAAATCCTATTTGTACATGGAATATGTTATGTAAACTAAATTTCCTATAACTGCATGTAATAGGTTACTTGAACCCCTATAAAAGAGAGTCAAAATTTCTCAGTCATAAATTCATCAAAACAAATTCATCAAATCCCTTTGATTATATTTCTCCAATTTAAAAATCATGTTTTTGAAAGTTTTGCGATACATAGGATTTTTATAACTGACAAAATTGCGACAAGAAATAAAAATATATTTGTTATATCCTAATAGAGAAAGATTTCCCATTCATCAAATTAATTTTATCCAAACAAATAATAAAATCAAAATAATGTAATAAAATAAAATCCTATTTGTACATGGAATATGTTATGTAAACTAAATTTCCTATAACTGCATGTAATAGGTTACTTGAACCCCTATAAAAGAGAGTCAAAATTTCTCAGTCATAAATTAATCAAAAAAAATTCATCAAATCCCTTTGATTATATTTCTTCAATTTAAAAATCATGTTTTTGAAAGTTTTGCGATACATAGGATTTTTATAACTCACAAAATTGCGACATCTGTGTTAGAAAAAAAAACAAATTCTCAAAGTATGAAGATCGTAACATGTGTCATGGAATAAAAATAATAAAAAATTTAATATGTATAAGACTAACTAAAAATTCGAAAAACAGATAACAAACAATTAAAATGAAAAAAATAATACCCATTAAAAGAAATAAAAAAACAGGAAACAAATAATTTAAATTCTTTTGTTACATCTATTAAGAAAAGGAAAAAAAATCAATTTCGAAAAGGAAAATTACCAATATATAGTATTTATAATGGTCCGAGGCAAAAAAAATTGAGAAAGAAAAAATATAAATAAAAAACTAACAAAATCATTATCAAGCAATTAACTATTATTAAAAAATTATAATTGATATTCTAATTTTAGATAGTTTTATTTTCAATTTTCTTTAGGTAAAACAATTGAAATAAATATTTCATCAATTAAAATCTCTTGAATGGAATAATAAAAGTTTGATTAATTAATCAATTGACCAGATTTAGACATGTGTAAGTCTTTCTATATTGGATAAAAATAATAGTAAAACAAATTAATTCATTTTGTCATATCATAAATTCAAAATAAAAATTAATTACAATAAAAAATAATAAGATGTATTTTGATATTTTGAAAGATTAATTAAATATTTTATAATTAAAGATCAGAATCTTATTATATAAAGCTGGATGCGCACAACGTGGTTGCGACATGTAGGATTTTTATAAAATATAGGATTGCGACATGTGTCATTTTTGATGTTAAGTCTGTTAAGATCGTGACACATGTCTTGGGAATAAAGGGAAAACAAAGTTAAAAAAAAAATATTAGAAAAAGGAAAATTAAAAAAAAAATTATCTATTAGAATAAAAAGAAAAAATCATATTTGTCATATCCTTATAAAAAAAGGTTTCCCATTCATCAAATTTATATTATCTAAACACATATTAAATTTCTAATAATGTAATAAATAAAATCATACTACAATACATTAAAAAAAATCAGAAAAAAGAAAAAATCAGAAAAAAGGAAACAACAATTTAAAAAAAAAATATTACATCTATTAGGAAAAGTAAAGAAAAAAATATAATCCTATTACGAAAAGGAAAAAAAAACGAAAAATCAGAAAAACATTATGAAATAATAAAAAAATATTACATCCAGTAAGAAAAGGAATAAAAAATATATTCCCATTAAGAAAAGGAAAAAAAAAACAATATTTAACAAGATATATTTAAAATAGTTTCTTGCTCATTAAGAAATCAAAAATCATGTCTAATATTTGATCAAGTGATGACATGTGTCAACAAAAGAAAATTGGAAAAATTCAGTAACATAAATAAATAAACTAATAAAATAATTGTAAAACAACTAACTAATAGTAATGACAATGAAAATTTATAATGTTAGAGGCAAAAACAAAATTGTAAAAGAAACAATATAAATAGAGAACCGACAAAATAATTATCAAGGAACTAAAATATTAAAAAGAATATTTTATAATGGAACGATCTTCTAAAATTAAATAGTTTAGTTTCCATTTTTTTTCTTAGGTAAAACAATATTAAAAATAAAGATTTCATCAATGGAATAATCAAAGTTTCCTAAATTAATGAGTCGATTAGATTTAGACACATGTAAGTTTTTCTATTTCATATCATGAATTAAAAAAAGTGATCAAATTTTGTTTAATAAACCCGCGTGTACGCGGGACCTAATCTAGTATTAAATATTTTCAAAAAAAAAAATTATAAAAAAAGAGTCACAAGTCTATCAATCATATAAGTCAAGAGCACACAAGCTTCAAGAGCTTAATGCTCTTCTAAATACTCACCCTTCTTATGCTTCTTAAGCCTAAAGTTCTTCCAAATGTTTTGTGCCTTAGTAAACTAATCTTTAGTCATTGACTTTGATTAACTATATCTTATTTTACAGAACTATTCACTTTGCCAGTTCTTAGTATTATTTTACTTCTTTTTAAAAAGTGATAAGATTTAGATTTTGTTTAATATGTTTGAATCAATTTGTCATCTTCGTTTTCTAGAGTAATGTCGAAATATATAGGGGATTTGAATTTATATACACTTAATACATATATAATCTTTTCACATTTTAAAAAAGAGCATGTTCAAAAAATAACATTTAGCCTTATTTGTGTGTTTGTAACTTTGTAAGAATTTTTAGGAAAAATAATAACCAGAGTACTGGTTCTTAAAAAAAAAAAAAACTTTTGACTTCAGCTATTATCATATCATTTAAACTTGGACAAAATCTCAAACGACAACATAGCATACATTTGAATGCTTTAAGAATCCATAAAACCATTTATTAATAGGATTAAAACTACCAAAATTCATAAAGTACAAAACAAATAAAAAAAAAGACTCAAAATTTATCTGAAAAATGTGAACTTTGGCTCAATGTCTTCTTCTAGCATTTCGAGCACAGCAGCACCCTGATCCTCCAATCATTGGTGTAATCTCATCATGTGCATGTTTAGGTTTTTGTTTGTTGTTCGTTGCTCCACCATTAGTCCCCTTCTTGCTCGGAGGCTCCACCTTCAAAGGTGCTTCCTCTTCTTCTTCTTCTTCATCTGAATCATCCTCATCCTCATCCGAACCCACCTAAAACCAAATAAACAGAACAAAAACATGGCTTTACATTTCAGAAATTACCTCTCACAACTCATAAAAACAACAACTTGCACTATTTACAAGTTAAAAAAGGCAAAATATATACCTCATCAGAGTCAGATTCATCTTCCTCGTTTGAGTCAGACTCAGCAGCTTCCATTGCCTTTTGATCATTGGACGCTAATTCTAAATTACAATGTCAAAAGTTAGGATGTGACAAAACCACAAGTAAACAATTAAGTACCAAAAGACATTGGCTTTGTAAAAGTAAAGGTACCATTTTGAAACATATACATGGGAATGTCCTCATCCTCTGAATCAAACTCTGCAAAAAAACAAAAATAAAACACGAATTTTTAGCTTCATGATAAATTCAAGATTATCAAATAACTAGCAAAGAGTTAAAAATAAAACTCACCAGAATTAACCGCATCCATATCAGGGATCTTAGTACCAAGAAGATAGACACTGCTTGTTTTGCAATCGTGAGAGAGCTCAAAGTCTTGCTCAATCATGAAATTGATAGAGAGTTGAGGAATCTTCTGTGAGAGGTTTCCGACAAGAAATCTGGTCTTGTCATCACCAACCTTGACAAAAACGGGTACAATCTCATCTTTCACCTTCTTCGACTCACCAAGTGTAACCTTTAAGATTAGTACAAGTCACAACAATCAATATTTCAAGAATTAACAACAAAAAATCCAAAAAATATAAACACAGAATATTGATTACAGACCTGAGAGAGATGGATAAAATATCCATCGTTTGCTTCGACTTTGATTGGATTTCCTGGCTTAATCTCAATACCTACAAAATTTAACAAAGGCCCACAAGATTATTCATCAATCTTAAGTAGGAATTACAAACAAAAGCTCACAAAGGAGATAAATTTATATGTATTTTGAAAAGTAAACAGTAAGAACAAATAAGCTCGTATATAAATCAAGATTTTGCAATGATTTCCAAATTGAACATAAGCCCAAGATTATTCATCAATCTTCACAACATATGGGAGTCGAAATTCAAACAGAAGCTCACAAAGGAGATAAATTAATATGTATTTTGAATCCTAAGCAATAAGAACGAATAAGCTCGTATAAAAACCAGATTTTTAAAATAGTCAATGTAAGACGCAACAAAGTGTAATTAAGGTATTGAATAGAGCTTACAGAGGGATAATTTCAGAGATTCATACCCCAAAACGCCATTGCTAGCGAAGGAAGAAAGATGCAGAGTTGTGTATGTGGCTGCTTGAAGATGAAGGCTTCAGGGTTTTAGAGTGGTTCTAAAAGGTAAAAGAAAATAAGCGGCTTATTTATAATATTCTTAGACCGTCAGATTTCTATTTCGCCGGTGTAGAGGGTCTTTGCTAGGGCTGCGACTTGGGTGAATGCTGGTGAGTTTTTTTTTTTTAACTCATGATTTGTTTTAGGGGTGAGAGTTTGGTAAGACGAGTGATTCTCGTTGCTTTATGATTTGTTTACCTGGTATATAAATACCAAATATTTTTTTTTCAATATGTTAGTTACTTAATTATCTCATGAAAATATGTTAGTTACCAGATTGACTATGGTATTTTTCAGATATTTGAAAGAGTATAAGCTAATACAGTTGAAAAAGCTGTTGTCACTTGTCATAGAATGACTTTAGAGAGTCATGACCAAACTAATAAAGCAACGAGAATCACTCGTCTTACCAAACTCTCACCCCTAAAACAAATCATGAGGATCCATTACAGATTTGCAACTCATCATTCTTCTTCTTCTCTATTACAAACTCCAGTTTTGCCTAAAAGCGAAAAAAAAAACAATGGAAGAAGTGGCAGTGGTGGAGAACAAACAAGTGATTCTAAAGCAGTACGTAGATGGCATTCCTAAAGAAACAGACATGGATGTGAAGCTCGGAGATAAAATTAAGCTAAAGGCACCAAAAGGATCTTCATGTATCCTCGTTAAAAACCTCTACTTGTCTTGTGATCCTTACATGAGAGGTCGTATGCGAGACTTTCACGGCTCCTACCTCCCTCCTTTTGTTCCTGGTCAAGTATATATCTCTTAAACACCTCAATTTCGAAACTTTAATCTGTTTTCTGGAAGTTGACTCTGTGATTTGTGTTCTTGGGTATTGGTTCTCTCTCTCGGAGCTCAATTTCGTTCGTCACTGTTGATTAATTTGTTAAGAGAGATTTTGCACACCAAGTGTTCGATTTTTTGCCTGAACTAGAGAACACCGTTGTTTCAGTTTTGTGGCAATTGAATCTATGATTGATATTTTCTGGGTATTGTTTTGCTCTTTGATTGGAAGAGGAATTTTTTGAGAAACTGGATCGTGTATTACAGAAATTTTGCACACCAAGTGTTCGATGTTTAGACTCTTCTTTGAGAATTTGTATTTGTCACTGAATTAGTCACATTCTTTGATGAATTTTGATTTGTTTCTCTAATCTTGATGCAGCGTATCGAAGGTTTCGGCTTAGCAAAAGTGATAGATTCAGACGACGCTAACTATAAACCCGACGACATAATCTCGGGCATCACTGGTTGGGAAGAATACAGTTTACTTCGTAGCTCAAATGAGCAGCTGCAGTTGAGAAAGGTTCAATTAGACGACGACGACGACATTCCACTCTCTTATCATCTTGGACTTCTTGGTATACTGAGCTCATCTTCTTTATTTGTTTGACTTCACAATTACCATATCCTTTATAGTTCATGTTATCTTGTGGTTGTTTACAGGGATGGCTGGATTTACAGCGTATGCAGGGTTTAACGAGATTTGTTCTCCAAAGAAAGCTGAGAGTGTTTTTGTCTCTGCTGCTTCAGGAGCTGTAGGACAACTTGTTGGTCAGCTAGCTAAGTTGCATGGCTGCTACGTTGTTGGCAGCGCCGGTACTAAACAAAAGGTTTTTACTTTTTACTAATTTACTCTCAGTAACTTTTCCGTGGGAAGCGGTTTTATGATAGGTCTCAGTAACTTAATGTGGGATTCTATTTCAGGTTGATCTTCTTAAAAGCAAGCTTGGTTTTGATGAAGCTTTTAACTATAAAGAAGAAGCTGATCTTGATGCTGCTTTAAAGAGGTAGATACATTGTAAGATATTAGCATCATTGTTTTAGGGAAACAGGAACATGTTTGATTCAATGAAATTATCTCAGAAAGTTTACTTCCCCTGTTTCGTATGAGTCAACTTATGTCTTATATGAGCTTTTAAAGAAGTTGAATTAACTTGTAACTGCAGTAAAATATAGCCGAAGAGCTAGCTCTAGGAAATGAGATAACATTACTTTTTAGTTTTTAACTATAAAGAAGAAGCTGATCTCGATGCTGCGTTAAAGAAGTAGATACATTGTAAGATGCCAGCTCAATGAATTAGTCTTCTTGATAGGTTGCTCAGTAGCTCCATCTTATGTCTACGCATTGTTCACTGTGACTTCTTCTCCTGCATACCATCATTGTTCTTCTGCTTTTAAATGTAAAATATAGCAGCTGAAATGTTATCATCTTTATTACTAAACAGGTATTTCCCTGAAGGGATCAATATCTACTTCGACAATGTTGGTGGAACCATGCTTGATGCAGTGCTTCTCAACATGAAAGTTCGTGGAAGAATCGCGCTCTGCGGGATGGTGTCTTTGCAGAGCCTCTCGAGCTCATCGTCGTCATCACAAGGAATCAACAACTTGTACAACGCGATCCCGAAACGCGTAAGGTTAGAAGGGTTCTTGCAGAGCGATTACCTCCATGTGTTCCCACAGTTTCTTGAACATGTGAAAGGATATTATAAAGAAAAGAAGATTGTGTATGTCGAAGATATGTGTGAAGGTCTAGAGCAAGCTCCAGGAGCACTTGTCGGGTTGTTTTCCGGGAAGAATATTGGTAAACAGATCGTTCAGGTTGCTGAAGAGTGAAGGTTTTTTGATGTATATTGCAATGTTGTGTTCTGAATGAAGCCAATAAAGCCAAGTTGTATTGTTAGCTGGACCAAAGTGAAAAGTATCTGTGAACTCGCCAGCTGAGAAAGAGTGTTTCACGAACTTGATCGTTGGGGCGCAAGTTAGGAAGCACATAAGTTAAATGAAAATTAGATTTTCTGGACGATACTAAGCAAAGAACAAGAATCAAAGGACGAAAATTACCTTGTCACCAAAGTCTCCTCTGTTTTTTTCAAGAGTTACGCATTCCACGTCATCAACTTCTCTTTTTTCCATCTTCTATGGTCTTCTTCTTCCCAAACCCAAGCTTTCAAGATCGAAGCAGCAAAAAGAGCCAACTCGAACAATCAAATTTTGTACGGTCTCCAAACACTTGGTCACAACTCCCTTGCACGAATTCTTCGCTCAAGATCTGGACACCACATTCAATAACGTCGGACTTGGTAAGATTTGCTGCTGAATTCGAACACTGTCTCTCTGCTCACTTGAGAGAGGTCGACAAATGGCAAGCGAGGGTGAAATATAACCAGATGTTCAGATAGATATTTGGAGACATCGCCTATGCATGCAAACCTCGTCCACAACGAGGTCTAAGTCGCCTTTGCCTAGGCTACGGCACAATAAGTACTCTGAAAATCTACCGTATTTGCTGGTTTGATGGTTAGGTGTCATAATGTTAATATGGGCAGCCCGAGCCCATTTAAGCAGTGCCCATTCAGGCCCGAACCCATTTAAGCAATACCCGTTTAAGCCCGTTTAGGCCCATTACTTTTTAAGCCTGCCGGGCCTAAGCCCGTCCACTGAAGCCCGTCTAATTTTTTGAATAACAAATTTACATTATTTTTTTTTGGCTGTGTTTACCCTTTATTGCATTAAAGAAACCCATAAAATCAAAAACAAAAAAAACAGAGTATAAAATCTTAAAGAAAGGTCTGATTTATAAAAGAAATGAATCTGATTTCAGCAAGACTACATGAAAAGAAAAAGGATTGAGTGAGTAGAAGAAGAAGAAGCACTCACGACTTCACGAGAACCATCCGATTCCACAACGGGAGCAAGGAATTGATTCTTCACATGGAACCATCTTTACTTCCTCTATATCTTCTTCACATGTTACAAAAAGGGATTGATTCTTCTCAGTACTTAAAAGTAAGACTACAATTAACAATCAGTGAAGACTATATAATACTTAAAACAAGTTCTTTTATGTCTTCATAGCCTCTTAGCCAATTTCTTGTGCACAGTAATGCTTGGACATTCTTTGGTAGCAAACGATTTCTATAGGGTGTCAAAATCCGTGCTCCTATGCTAAAAGCAGACTCTGATGCAACAGTAGTAATAGGAATTGTTAAGAGATCCCGTGCCATTTCAGCTAAACAACCAAGCCGATGTTGGTTCTCTTTCCAGTAGCCCAGAATATCCAAATCTGGAAAAGCACTCCTCGCTAGCCTCGGCTCATCCAAGTAGATATCTAAATGCGTTTTTGTGTTGCCCACACCAGAGTCAAGGCTTCTTTCTAACTCAAAGAGATCCTGTAATGAACAATCATGAATATCATCAGTTAAAGTCTTGAGAATAAAGCAAAGTCTGTTCTGTAACACTAACACACTAGTTATTATGAATATCATGAATACGGAAGCATCAATATCATCAATAAACCCTGCACAATATCATTCCCTGCAATCAAGCAAACTCACAAGTGCATACTAAAAATCATTTCCAGGGACTAAAAATCAGGTGCATACTAAAATCAGGTTCACAAGTGAAGAAGAGAATTTTACTTACATCATCAAAGTCATGTTCAAGTGGAGACTCAGTGACAATGTCATGTGGAGTTGGTGTAGCTGAAACACCACAAGAACTTGCACGATTCCTAGTCTGATAATCTTTGTAGAGCATCTTCAAATTTTCCTTGAGTTCATCAATTTTTAACCAAGAAGTAGTAGGATCCGCAGCTTCATAAGCTTTTTCAAGCATTTCCACTTTCAGCCTAGGATCAAGAACAGCTCCCATAGCCAAAATGACACTATAATCCTCCCAATATTTATTGAACTTTCCTTGCATTCTTCCAACCATTTCTCTTATTGCAGCATCATCATCATCAGCATATTTCTGCAGCAGCATCTCAATTCTCCATACTTGCGTGAAATATACATTTGATAGGGTATTTCGAACCTGACATGTAGGTAGTAATAACACTGAAAGGTTTGAACAGCTTGGAGATTTTATCCCCACGGTCCCACTCAACTTGTGAAGGGAGTGTCTTGTAGTGAGGGTCAAAAGTCTCCATGCTCTCAAATGCTTTCCTATACCTCAAAGCTCTCACAAGCATATCGTATGTGGAATTCCATCTGGTCTTTATATCAAGAGACAATCCTGCACCAGGTTTGACCTTTTCTCTCTCTGCACAAGCTGAAAAAGCGTTTCTTCTTTGTGGAGATGCCTTAACATATCTAACATATTAAGATACAAGTTTCTTGCTCTGACCTTTTCATACTCCACATATCGAAATGGCAGATCGTGATAGATAATGATCTCGCTGGTCATCTCTCGGTCAATCTTTTGATCATATGGAGGCCTATCTGTCTTCTTGGGAGCTTTTGGACACTTAGCCAAATGGCGAAGCAAATGGTTTGTTCCATGTGTCTTGGTACCTATAACTAGTCTTGCCTGACAGTATATACACTCTCCCCTTTCCTTGCCATCACTACCAACTCCTACAGGAACAAAGCCTTCCCAAGCAGCAGAAGTTAAACGCCTCTTTCGTCGATGAGCTGGAACTGGAGCTGCTTGAGTCTCACTTTGAGCTGGAGCTGGTTCTGTTTCTTGCACTTCTGTTTCTCCCTCGTTCATATCATCTCCCAAGTTTACAACATCTTCATCATTCATATCCATGTACTCATCAAAATCCATTCTGCAAAAACTGAAGATGTTGGGAGAGCAAACAAAGTCAGTATGTTTATTAAACTCATGAAGTTAACTGAAAAAGTTATGATCCTGTAAAACAAAGATTAGCTACGGTTCTTTAGCAGTGGAAAAGTTCTTAAACAAGAGGAAAAAGCTACTGAGAATGTAATCATTAAGATAAAAAGATCAGAAGCTTTTAACTACGTGCTATCATATTACTAGATCAGAGATCCTGACTTATTTCATCAAAGCTAGAAAAAAATAACAGAGAATGATTTAACATTGGTTACAGAGAAATAGTAATAGTCGTAAAGGGCTTTGAAGCATGACAAAAGGATCAAACCCAGATTATCAATCAAACATGCAACATAAAACGTGATAAAAGGAGCATCAAAGCTATTAGAGACCCACGAACTACAAGTATCAATTTCGCAAACCCAGGTCAATTTAAATGATATGAAACAAAAACAAACCAACATCTTAGCTCATTTAAGCTATTAGAAAGTAGAAACCCACAAAAACAACCAGCTCAAAGAATTTTAAAAACCCAGATTGATCAATCTCAAAACCAACATCTTGAAGGCACTAATCCCCAAATTCAATTAAACCCAGTTCAACAAAACTACAAAGTATTAAATCACTTGAAAACCCAGTTGAAAAAACTCACTTGAATGATTGCCGAGCTTGGCCGAGATATATCGACGGAGTAAAGAGAGACGATCTTAGTTAGAGACTTCGAGAAGAGCTTCAAACGGATTCACCGTGTTATACAGAGAAACGATCTCGATTCTCGTCGGATTCCTGAATCGTCAAGTGATTACAGTGGTCAATCTCGTTGAATCGTCATTTTGCTCGAAGTTGAGATTTGAGAACTCAAAGCGGTGGAAATGGGAAGAAACAGCGTAACGTCGTCGTTTGGCGGAGAAAATTCAAGGATCGTAATAAATGGGCTAGCCGATTCTAAACTTACAAGCCCTTTAGTAATTGGGCTTAAACGGGTACACCCATTTAATATTTGCTGTCTTTTAAACGGGTTCGGGTATAAAATGGTTATACAGAGCCCGTTTAGACCCGCGGGCTTAAGGCCCATATTAACATCACTAGTTAGGTGACACCACACCGCAAAGCTTCAATCTAGATAAAGAAGAAAGAGGAGGGTTACCACCAACTGGACTTGTAATGGTGTATGAATTTCCTCTGGCTCGGTGACTAAACTCTGCGGGTACTTGTCTTCCGGGGAAGATAGCCCATTCGTAAGAAAAGGACCGTTGGATGATTTCTCTCCGTGCTTGTTCGCCCAATCTGAAACAGTTGGTGAAATCGAGTGTTGCATCTGGAGTGTGATTCAAAGGGAAAAACACGGTCTCCAGTGAGTCACAACCTCCTGCCTTAAGGGATTTGAGAGAAACAGGGAGCTCTGGCAATGATATGAGTCTTCTACATTCATTACGGCCTGTTCGTTTGCTCATCCGGCTGATCTATCTCAATAAAGCAGTTAGATGATGTTTGTTTAATATAAAAAATGGGCATCATTAGTTGATAGCTAAGATTTAAAAAATTTAGGCTAAATTTTTAATAACTAGATGATCTAGGCCTGGGCATTCGGGTCGGGTCCGGGTCGGGTCTTGTCGGGTCCGGTTATTTCGGGTTTAAGAATTATTGGACCCATAAGGGAACCGATTGGATTTCGGTCCGGTTCGGGTCGGTTTTCCATCGGTTCCGGGTCGGTTCAGTACCTAATTTTCAAAACCTGTAAAAGAACCGATTTTTGGCGGGTCTAGTTCGGTTCGGTTATTTTCCGGTTATTCCATACCCGAAATCCAATTTTTAACCGAAAATATTACAAAATAACCGAAAATATTGCAAAATAACTTGAAAAAAAAACAAATCTCTAACCAAAATGAGCAATTCCAAACACTCAAATACTCAATCTCAAAGTCTCAAACTCTCAAGTCTCAACCATCCAAAAAAAACAAACTGAAGCAAAGATTCGAAACACTCAGTCTCAAACTCAAAGGCTCAAACTCCCAAACAGTAATAAACCATAAACTTAGCATAAATATAAAGGATAAAAGTTTCAAGTACACCATCAAGCATCAACCACTCGGACCACAACACTTCATTCCATCTCATCTCCATCACTTGTGCAAGCCTATACCTGTTAACAGTTTCACACCAAACATATCTAAGTAGTCCTATCACTCTTTCACACTTCCAAATTCCAATTCCAAACTAGATAAACTTTATGTTTACCTTACACTTAAGTACCTTGAGACATGAATTCTGGTTCAAACTCTAAACAAAACACAAAAAAAAAACATATCATACAGTAGAAAACTAGAAATCAAATGGACAAATACGAATAAGTAAAACTGAAAGAGAGAAATAATTTAAGGATTAAAAGTACCCT